ATATATATATATATGTATGTATATATATGTATATACATGCAAGGAGAAAATACATGAAGATCATATGGCATAAACTAAGCATAGTGTCTAAGTGTTTCACATATACATTTTAAACATGAAGAAAAAACATATATAAACTAACTAGGATTCTAAGTATTTCACATGACATAAAAGATATTTGTATGATAGAAACACATGGGGCAATGCTAATTCACATAATAACGACTATTTAAAAATAAATTTCTATTGAGATGAATTTTGTGTGGGTAAGCCACATGAACGAAAAGGGGGAGATTTACAAGTAAAAAAGGAGAATAAGAAAAGTGGAAAGGAAAATAGAAAATCAGAAGCAAAAAGAATATTTGGTGTGAAGTAGAAGAAGTAGAAAAGAAAAGAAGAGAAGAGAAGAGAAGTGGTATGAAGAAGAAGTGCACGAGAAAATAAGCATAAGAATTTGAAGGAAAGAGAGCTTACACTGAAGTATAAAAAGGCCATAGAGCACAATTAGAGGCGAGTGAGGGAGCAAGCTAAAGGGAGGAAGGAAATGGCCGCTTCTTCTGTCTAAAGGAGAGTGAGTGGTTAAAATAAAGAGTAAAGGTGGTGGGGGCTATAGGAGGGAGAGGTTGGCTCTCTGAAATTGAGCAGAGAAGTTTGGATAGACAGCGTTGTTGGTGCACCACCCAACGACACAGGTATGCCACCCTCTATATTAAACGATATAGGTACACCTAGGTGCTACCTTGTTCAGTGCAAGGACTTTAATGTTGTGGTTTCATGGGTGCAAATCCATTGAGGACAAGGTGCACCCAAAGTGTTGGGGTGGTGCGAGTGTGCCATCTTGAGGCACAAGTGGTGGGGTGATTAAAGCCAAAATGACAATCCCAGCTCATCTAAAAGAGAAAAACTTTAGAAAAATGATGTATTTATTTTTTGGTTAAAGTTTTCCCCATGTCATGAAAATTTAAGTCAAAATACGTGCCCCACTTTAGAAGAGTAAATTTGTTGGATTTTGAGTGAAAACTTTAATGGGTTTTGATTGATTAAATTAAAGATTTTTATAGATCACATTTACCTTGGTTGAAATTTGGTTATGTTAGGTTCCGTTTTAGTTTGGTTGATTTTACTTTTATTTAGCTAAATTTTAATGTTAGGTTAGATTAGAGTTAACTAAAGTTTTTGTTGAACTAAGGTTCAATTCATAGTTTATTGAGCTCAATTCAGTCATCTGGTGATATTAGGAGGGAGGTCCCATGTCTTGATGGGATTATATATAAACTAAGAAAAAATATTGACTGAAAAATGAGGTCAACAAGAATGTGAATGACATTGGGAGGACATTGATCATCATCATTAATTTCCATGAGGAACTTATTCAATTGTTGACATCTTAATCCATTCTCTTATGGCAATTTTGATTCAATTTCAAAATGCTTCTCTGAACCTATTTTGATATTGTACTTTAGTATTACTTTATTGATGCTCATTCACTAGCTGATGTCAAGAAGCTTCCCTTTGTAATACCAAGTAGTGTGGCCCCCTAGATCTTTCTAGTCGTGATAAATTTCCACTGTAGGTAGTTCTTCTTATACTTGAGCACTCTCATCTTGTTGATTTTGAGATTTTAGACTTTTGTTACTCAAATATATGGTTAGATGAGAGGTCATATCTACATAAAATGGAAGTTAGAAAGAAATTTGATAAAAGAGTTATATTGCATGAACCTTTTCTTTTAAAAGAAGCTTTCTTTTTAGTGAGGGTATTAGTCATATGAAGATTTATGTGAAAATACTTAGATTTACAAGGTCATCATCTCAAGACTTTTATAATTATACTAGTTCTGATTAGGATACTAAATTTCTTATGTACTCGTAGTCTTGCTTTCTTGAAGATCATCTTCTTATATATATCGTGGATGATATTTAAGCTATAGCCTTTTGATTATATTTTCTTTCTTCTTTTAGCCTAGTTAATCCTTATGTCTATTCTCACATTGTTTTGTTTGTTTTTTGTTTCATCTTGGCCATTTTATATAAATTGTATACTTATTGTATCTTAAAATTTCTTGTAACTTTCCCATAATAAATGAAAGGGGACTTCATTAGGTTTCAAACAAACTTCTTTTAATTTTTTTATTTAATGAAACATTATGCTAAACTTTGTAGATTGGTTTTGTTTTCTATGTTCTATCTCTTATTAGAACTTGCACTAGAAACAAGAATGATAATATCTTAATATATTTTATCCATCGTAATCACTCCAACATTAATTATAGATTCTAATTTCTTTCTTCACACATTAATCATCATTTCTCAAGCTTTTACTTTGCATGGGAACAATCTTCTTAGTCACTTTCAATTGCATCTACTCAATTTTAAATCATTATTTTAGCTTTAGCTCATTTGAAAAAAATTTAATAATAATCATATAGATAATAAACGAATAATTGAATTAATGTGAACATTTATTTTCTTGAAAAAAATTGTTGCAAAAAAATAGATAACATTACTAGAATCTGTACTAAAAGTCCACCAAAAAGTTAAAATTGAATTTTTACAGTTAGCATAAATCAATGTATGGAGGATTTTAACTTTGGGCCCCACAATCATTGTTTGACAAATGAATTGATTTTTTACTTTGATTGAACCAAATTAATGAGCCGCTTCACAAGCCTAATTCTAATATTTGAGCCAATTTTGACTTGTGCCTAACTTCTTGGGTAAACTGCGTTCTGACAGCTTATGTGTTTTCAAAACGCAGAAAACAATGTTTTCACACCACGCCTATCTAGGTGCGGTAGCAACTTATTGGCAACAATTTTACTTTTCCAAAAAAATAAAATTTATAATAGCCACCACACATAGCTTATCAGCAGATTATTTTTAATCAGTTTATCAGCAGATTATTCAATAAATTACAGCTGTCCCAAACAGACTCTAGGTCAGATTGAGCCGGTTCAAAATTGGCTTCTTGTTTCCTAAATTTAATACAACATATATTCATTTACAAAAATTTATATAAAATATAATTAAACTTCTATGTGTATTAAACAGTGCAGAAAAAACATGATTTCAGGCACGCTCTGATCATGACAAGAGATAATTCTAAGTTGAGTCAGGTAAAAATTGTAACAATTCAAGTTACACGCACATTTCCAACCAAGGCTTCGAAACGATACTGAATCATTTAGAAATTGGATCGTTGTCACCCGTTATATGTAACACGGCTTTCATTTGCAGACTATTTATATATTTGCGCAGGGTAATCTCAAAACCCTAACCCTATTATAGAGCGCATTATGCTCGTTCTCTCATGGGCGCTTTCATTTGAGCTCGAAACGTCCCAAAGTGTGGATTATTGTTGCATGTTTTCTTTCTATCCTTGGGGGAAACACTAATCTATCCGCTGGAGATCTGAAGGTCATCCTGGAGAATCAGTTGGCGTTGAGACTGATGATGAGAACACTGAGTTTCTATTCGCTAAATTTAAGGGGAAGGGATTACTTTTCTCCTCTACTCTCTCCGTTGCAGTTGCAGGTGCTGCCGTCGGTGATAGTGGCAGTGTTAATACTACGCCTCCTGCTGTAGCACCGTAAATGGAGGAGAAAATGGAAAAGAAGTAAGAATCTAATGACGACAAGGGTTTCGGGTTGTCTGGTTAGCTGGTTTTAAAACATGATAACTGAATGCAATATGATGGTATTAGGTTTTATTCTGTATCATTTTTAAAAGCGACTCATCATTCGTTAGATTTTTCTCTGGACAAATTTTTAGTAGGGACCTGATGTAATTTACTAGTTAAGGATTATAAAATTTTTGAAACAACTCCAGTAGTAGAATGTTTTCTGCGCATTAATTAAAAAAAACTTCTATCATTTATTCAGCATCGAAATGCTCTTATGTGGATGAGATGCAACTAATCACTCAACTTTCTGCTACTTTTAATGTATTAGAGCTGGTATCAAGAAGTATCCAAACTGAAGGCAAAGTTCGATTCATTACAACGCTCCCACAGGTATGTGAAGGTTTTTAAAAACACCTTGAAAGAAAAACGCGAAGAGAAACATTTTTTTTTAATTTTTATTAGTGGATTAATTTCCCTGTCGGTTTGGGGAGAGTCTTTGCCACTCTTTCGTCATTAAACTGTGTAGTACTTACAACAAAGTATGGCATGTTTTAATCATCTAGGTCTTTTGAATTTTTTACGATGTGGTGAAGTAAAATAGTGGCTTTAGGGGTAGTGTATTTTAATTCTGATTTATCCATGAACTTAACATAAATTCAGCTAAACATAGTAGTACTTACAACAAAGTATGGCATGTTTTAATCATCTAGGTCTTTTGAATTTTTTACGATGTGGTGAAGTAAAATAGAGGCTTTAGGGGGTGTTGGTAGTGTATTTTAATTCTGATTTATCCATGAACTAAACATAAATTCAGCTAAACATTAAAAATATAAATTTAAATCTTGAGTTCCATTAAATTGAACATTCGATGGTTCCATTTGATTTTCGACCTAAATTTAGATTTATTAAATCCGATTCGCATACAATTTAAGAAGATTGGCTTTTCAGAGTTCCTCAGTTAAATTGTGAATTCAATAAATAGTTAAATCCTGATTTATCAAATTTATTAAATCCTACTTAACGTAAATCCGGGACGCAACCAAACACTGCATTATTAAGATAATATTGCTTGCTAATAAAGAATTGCCGCAAGTGATTAAATTTTTTTCTTGTTATCATTTATCTAAATAAAAAAATAATTAAAAAAAATTGATGTAGGCTAAGTGAGAGGTGTGAGTCATGTCGATTGGTGGTCCAACACAGTCGACTCATCAAATTACTTCGGAATGAGCTTAATCAGCTAATGAGTCAAGCTTGAACCAACACTATTATAAACTCATTAACTCGTAAGCTCGCTCATTGCACATATTTGAATTTATTGATTAAGTATTAATTTGTTTAGGAATAACTAAGTAATTTCTTTCCATGTTTTTTCTAAACTCACATTATTTTTATCATGATCTTATTATAGCAATGCTTATATTATAGAGACAATTTCATACCTAGCACTCGTAACATTGCTATTTGCAAATCCAACACTCTCTTTCATCCATGTTTTAAATTTTCACTTAAATATCAAAATTCATTATAAAACTCCACCCATGTTTTTCATTTTTATCAAATTCTTAATGGTTTGATCGTGACAAGTATAAATAACTTGGTTTGATAGTTAAAAATACCAATTGGGGTCTATATTTTTTAAATTACAATGTTGCGGTTGCTATGTACGTAATTATCTCTAAATTATAATCATCTTCTTTCTTTCATAGAAAACTAAGTTGGTTTATGAGCCAACTTAAATATAAGCTTGAGATGGATGTCTAGCTTATTTAATTTTGCCAAGTACAAGCTAAAGTTGAGGGTGACTTGGGCTTGACTCGTCTTGTTTCTATGTTTTGCTTGTTATCAAAGCATGACAAAGGTATTACCTATATAATTGCTATTTTAACATAACATGAAACCAAACAGGTAAAAATTGCTAAAAACATAACCTCAAATTTGATGTCAACATGCAAAATAGTCCTAAAATGGGAAAAACATTTTGTAGGGCCTATTTCATTGATTGTCGGTTGATAAAATGTTTTCAAAATGATGAAAATTGTTAATTTCCATTATTTGTGTCGAGGAATTAAGAAATTAAAAATTTTAAGTACCCATAAACCCCTCAACTACTGTGATTTTGTTTTTCACATGCAAACTAATTGATTGAAAGTAAAAGTATTTTAAAATGAAAAAAGTGAAGAACGTGGTTTTATCTACAAGCAGCCAAAATCCCCTTATGAGTGACTTCTTTGATATGAAAAATGGAATATTCTTGACCAGCCAGTCAACTACTATAGTTGCTAACTTATATTTTCTTGGAATACTTCTAAATAAAAAAATTATGATGATGTATATTCTGAAGGAATTTACTTGGAGAGGACCTTGGACCCTTGAACGTAAAGGAATTACAGCAGTTGGAGCGGCAACTTGAATCTGCTTTATCACAGGCCAGGCAAAGAAAGGTGCTTTTAGACTTGATTTCTTGGTTGGTTTGATTTGAACTACAATTGGTGAAATTATAATTATTACATGTTTATTCGAATAACTAGAAAATATTTTTCGAAATTTAATATGAGTTTCTAAGATATGATTCTAATATTATTCTAATATCTTCTATTTTCAAAATGAAATTTGTAATCACAATATTTCACCAACCAGTTGACTTCAATTACTTTTTTGTAGCTTTCATTTCTTTTGCATATCCGAGAAGAAAAATTGACATTTTCACACACACACACACATTATATATATATATATATATATATACACACACACATACCTCAATTTCTTTTTTAGTACTTTTTTTAATATTATTTTAATACTTTAGGATTAGGTATGTGTTTTAGATTGAGATGTTATGTGCATGGAAATATGTAAATCTTATGCCAAAAAAAAATTAATAATGATAATATTATTTATTTAATAAATTAAAATCCAATGTAAATGGGCTGTTATATGAGCTTCATATTAGTCACAAAGAGCAAATATTGCTAAACCAGACGTACGTGCAGACAATAGTATTTGGGTGGAATTGTAGTGGTATTACATCTTATATTGCTGCAATACCACCGATCTACACTTGTCTTATCCACACCCAACATTTTTCCCGTTTATAGATCATCGAATCTATATTATCAATTATTTTTGGATCACTTGTTTTTTTTTTTTGCAATTATTTTAAAATCATATTGTTTAGTAATTTTTTTACATGCTTTTATAATTTATTTTTTAAAAAAAATTGATTTTAAAAATAAAGTTAAAAATTATGTTGAGTGTTTTTACTAAATATATTATAACATATCAAGTATGTTTCATTTTAAATAAAAATATAAAAAAAATAAAGCATAACAATAAAATAAAATATATAAATATATATACATATATATATATATATATAAACCAATAATGATCCGAACAGTCCCTAAATGTTTGATATTTGGCTGAAATAGTCCAAAACTGAGTAAAACCCTCTTATTTGTGAGCATGCAAAAGCCCAGAATTGCACATGGGATACAAAAAATTTGCGTAATATTTTTTCTAAATTTGTTCCACAAGGCTCATGTAGGAAATGCGTATGAGACGCTAATTAAAATATAAATTATTTCATTTAGAACTTTTTAAATTAAGTCCAATGCGACATAAGAAGTTGCCTTACTGACACTAGAGCTTTAAGCGTAAATATAAATTCAGTTTTTAAAATACTTATGTGCAATAGTGCTATTGCTGACATTTTATGCAGACACAAATAATGCTGGATCAAATGGAGGAGCTCCGTAAAAAGGTACATTATTTGTATTTTATATTGGCAAAAGCGAGAAATGGTAATCATAAAACAAATGTACGTATCTGATTTCACATATTTTGAATGCACACTTGATCTTTGGAGTAATGCTAAACATTTGGCAATATTACTGAAAGGGATTTTTCTTTCAGAAGAAAAAAGATTGCATTAGGTTAGTTATTTTATGAATTCTCTTAGGCGAAAACATTTCCTTCTCTCAGTTTAAATTCGTGAAATCAAGGATGGAAATCATGTGCCCCACATATTATCATTGACGATTCATTGTTTATTGTTTATAATTTCTCATCTAAATTTTAAAATTTGTTTCAGTAAAGGCGATTATGAGGGATTTAGAAAAATTTTTTTATTTCGGCGACATACATCAAATGATACGAAACAAGAGAAGAAACAAATTTTAAATTTGAGCAGAGCTCTTAACATAATGGAGCAGCAACTGAAGTAGTTCAAAAACATTAATGTCAGCACAAGAAGAAGAAAAAAAAAAAAACAGTAGTTCAAAAACATTAATGTCAGCACAAGAAGAAAAAAAAAAAAACCGAAGTAGGGGACTGTTATCTAACCATTTTAAATGATCTTGATCCTCCTCAATGTCTCTGTTGTGATTAATCAAAAGCATTAACTAAAATCCCAACTTCAGTTGTCAGAGTTATAAAAATTTTTAACCTAACAATTGATTATTAGGGGGTTAAAATATAGGCACTTTTAGATTTATCTTCTTTTAATTATACTCCTAATGAAAAATTGTCCCTAAGCATGCTATGTAGGGGGTTAAGTTAGTGAACCTGAAAAATGTGAAAATTTGGGTTCATAATGAGGATACCTGATAAAAAAATATTGAAATTATCATTTTATGTTTTCCGAAATCAGGACAAGTGACAAACATGCAAAAGAAATTATATTTTATTGAGATAGGGAGCCTAAAGGAGCACCCACAGTCTCAAACAGAATTCAGTCAGCATAACTACTCCTAGAAGATTGGTAGCTCTATCCTTCGTACCGGGCTTCGTACATAGCGGATGTTGTAATTACACCAAATAGTGGTGTAGCTACGCCTCAACTCTTTCAATTCTAGGCTTTGAAACAGAGAGGTAAACATAATTACACCGAGGAGCAGTGTAACTACGCTGCATGCATTTTTTTCTCCCAATCTAGTTTTTAAGTCTTCGATTCATAGCAACGAAGTGTGATCTCTCTCTCTCTCTCGTGGTGAAATCTCTCACACGTGCGATTTTGAAAGGTTTTATATCGATAATAAAGAAGGTGCAGTGTACTGAGAGAGGCGAATTTACGACGTGCAATTTTATTTGTTCAATCAAGAGGGGATTTGGAGCAAAATTCTTGTTTGTTCTAGTGGTGAAGTAAAGATTTGGATGGTACAAGTTTATGTAGATTTCTACTCTCATAATAAAATTTCGGTGTGGTGTGATTGTCGTTTTTTTTCATTCTCGGGATTTTTTCACGTTGAATTTTGGTGTGTTTTTCTATGATTATTTTGTTGTAAGTTTCTACTTGATATTTTATTCTGGACTTCAAGAATCGGTGTGATCCTATTTTCTACGGTGTGACTTTAATTGTAAACCAATCAAAGACCTCAATTTTCCTACACAAGATATATTAAGATGTACTACCCTCTATAAGGAAGTCAAAATAAATTCTTTCAATTGAGTGTTGCCCTTCTTGAGTTATGAATATATTGGTTGGTTGTCCTTAAATAGTTCTTCAAATATCAACGAACAAAAACTATAACATTCCAAAGCATCCATATCTCTATGCTTTAGAAAAGGCCAACCTTTCATATTTATTAAGTGTTGGAATTAAATTTTGATTAGCCATAGCTTAGTAGCTAATATTAATTCAAATGACGTTTGATAGTTATCTCATGATGTGATAAATATTAATTTTTTATTTGGTGCAAAGCCAAAAGATTTGCATCATCATTTCACGATTACAATAAAGCTGACTAAGTAGGTTATGATTCATAAAATTGATACTTTAATGTTATGCTATGATAAACATAAAATATGTTCCTTAAAGGCCATCTTTAGATAATATTTGATGCATATGATAAAGCATCAAGCTCTTTGGCATCCTATTTTGATTTAAAATTGATCAATTAACTCGGATCACATATTTATAAGATTTTCTTAGAAAACACAACCCATAATTATTAATAGAGATCTTTGGGTTAGAATGGGTTGACAATATTTATTGACTAAGTAAATCATGATTCACTATCGTATTGGGATGATAAAATTATAGAATTTTGAATGGATGAGTAATCATCTCGTAAACATAACTCTTTCAAATCATAGAGTTAATACTTTAACAATATTTATTGACTAAGTAAATCATGATTCACTATGTATTGGGATGATAAAATTATAGAATTTCGAATGGATGAGTAATCATGTCGTAAACATAACTCTTTCAAATCAAGAGTTAATACTTTTCTTTTTACATGCCGAAGAAATACTATTATTACTCCTAAGAAACATAGGTAATAATACTTTTATAAGAGAGCCAATTTTAATTGCCTTAATCAAAAGTGCTTATGATAAATGGAGAAGTGACCATAAGTGATTATGCTTTTGGGAGACCATTACAAGTGGGAAAATTAAGTGCTTAGAAGAGAGATAGCTTTCAAAATTGTGCCAAAATATAATGTTCCAATTTACCTTTTTAAAATTTTTTATCCTATTTTGGTTTGAGAGCACATAAAGGTTCTTTAGAACCCATACTTTCTTTATGACTTTGCTGAGTAGGGTCTCTCTTTTCATTTCTTGAATGTCATTCCAGCTAAAGAAAACATAAATATATGCATCACTTAATTAGTTTCACATTAAAACATAAGGATTACTTATATTAAGTAGCTAACCCTCTGACCTTCTAGGAAATTATTAGTGGTTAATCGACATGTAGACAATTTCATTCATTATTCAACTTGAGGAGAGTTCCACTTGCTAGTACTAGATTAATTTTATTAGTGCTACAACCAAATGAGTAAACATTCAATTTGGTTCCTTATGATACCAAGTTTTCTCATCACATGAAATGCAACAAATAGCCTATTGTTGTAAGTGGTGCATCAAATGCACATGTTGCGTTAATTAAATCTTAAGCTTTGAATGTTTAAATCAAAACAAGAAGAGCCAAGTTTGCCATTATATAGGATGCTATTCCTTGTGCATGCTTACTCACTCAAGGTAGGTAGTCTAACATGTTCATTCCAATGGAGCAAATGGCTCAATTAGTGGAGATGTAAGTTATTGGTATCACAAAAATGCCAAAAGGAGACCCTATTTTTCTACTAATTTTTTTAGATCAATGATACCAGTTATTAATAAATTTATAATTCAAGAAGCGACTACCACATATAATTTAATTTTTGTTCCTTCCCAACATTGCTCAACTTGTTAATCTAGCACTAGATTAGAATGGATTTGAAAATAAAAAGCAAGTGCTCTCAGTTTAACTTGTATGAGAGAAATTTGATAAAAAATTTAAATATTGATATTGTAAATATTGTAAGTGCAAAATTGGGCTAAAATGACATCTTGTTCATCTTAAGATTGAGCTATATATGGCTAGTCCTAAACAAAATTATTTTCATGCTATTGCTTACTTTCACAAGATCATATAATTTATAATGACAATTTATCCCAAATGTTAACTACATTAGAAGGCATTAAGCAACTTTTAATTTTGGAGGTATTAGTTAGTATATTGAAATAATGATCTTTGATATAAAGATAAAACATTTCAATATTTCATTCATGAGTTAAGTCGAATTTTTTATACAAAGTTATGTAAGAAAATGATTTGAAATGGCATATTAGATAAATAACTACATTCATAACAAATTTATCTCTATTGTTGACTACAATGGAAGGTAATAAACGACTTTTTAATTTTGGAGGTATTATTGATTATATTGAAAGAAAGTTGACATTTCAATAATTCATTCATCAGTTAAGTTGAATTTTTCATACAAAGTTATGTAAGAAAATGATTTAAAATGGCATATTAGAAAAAATAACACCTAACTATTTTATATGACACAATCATAGCACCACTTTGAAAACAAAAGGGGCTCATTTACATACATACCACCCAACTGTTATATATGTATTTAGATCTCATACGCACACACACATTTATACGAACACACTCACATACACAGGTATCAATAAATAAATAAATAGCGCACACACACATTTATACGAACACACTCACATACAAAGGTATCAATAAATAAATAAATAGATTTATACAGAAAGAGAGAGGGAGAGAGAGAGACTCCCACACACATGACACACAAGCACCAACATGCACCCACATGTGCACAGAGATTGAGGCGGAGACTGACACATCCACATGTACGCCTATGCACACACATTCAAGCACACACACACAAACAATTCATGGTTTGAAATTTGTGGAGAGTGTGGCAAGCGGCTGCCGTTTGGGGGGGTCGGAGCGTCATTAGAGACCAAAGTTGGAGAGCATTGACAGAGAGGAGAAATCCCCTCAACTTCGCTAGAGCCCTATTTGAAACCAGGACGAAATGCTAAGTGTGAGAGTAGTGTGTGTGGATTAGGTTAAAAAGATATTAGTGACTGATATGCAACTCAACTTTTAGACGCAAATAATTTGCTGCTGAAATTGCCACCGGTAGGCAACCACTTTTAAGTAATTTTTATCACAACAAAAATTCAGCTGTAAAATCGACCACAAAAGCTTTATGACAAAAATTTCTCACGGTAAGCAGCTAGTTTTAAGTAAATTATATTGCGGTTGAATGTTTAGCCGCAAAATCTACTTCTAAATTGAAGGGTCAGAATTTTTAGCCACTAATGCAAATGTTGAAAATTTAATTGCAATTTCGGACGCTAATTAACCGACTAAATAAATCAGTCTGAGGATCAACCGTTAATTTGCGTTATTCTTGTTGTGGATGTTTGGGCCATGAAATCTTTCAT